TCCAGAGATACCTCCGCAGGGCGTGCCGGCGCCAGATCGATAAATCGATTGACTGAGTTCTCATCCGAGGCTCAGGCTTCAATCAATTCGCAGCCCTCCCCTCCATAACGTTTGATCGGCCCCTGCGTCCTTGTTGCTTGTCTTTCGTTTACGCCCTTTATCTCTGAGGATGGACTCTAGAAAGAGCCCGAAAGCTCAGACAAGTAAAAGTATGATTCCGGTGATCGCAGAACACTATGCTAGAGTGACGCTCACCGACCAAGTCAGGACATGCTCGATCACCTGTCTTTGTCTCTGGGCGTTGTGCAGTTGTCTGTAAGGGCTCCAACTTAACTTCCAAGACACGGTGGCACAAGCGTGCCCCGTAACCTAATGGGCGAACACATCTCTATCATAATTAACATTCCAGATCACAACCGGCAAGACAGCAGGCCCGTAGTCCATTGGTAAAGCGTTCGACTCGATAATCAAAGATCCCGGGTTAGAATCCCAGGGTGACTGACTCTTCACGTTCGCGGACTATGCCAGGGAGGTCGCGGGCAAAGTGAACCGCTGCACCAAGTTCCTCAAGGTTCTAGCAGGCACACCCTGGGGCTGCGCGAAAGAGACTTTGGCGACCACATTCAAAGCGCTGGCAATGCCGCACCTCACTTATGCGGCACCAATCTGGTCTCCTACGATCATCTCTTCCAGCCTCCGCCGCCTTAAGTCGGCACAGAACGCTGCTATAAAATGTCACGTATCGATCCTTTTCATACGGAGGCCTCTGTCCTGCCGGTCGCCCCTCACAACGCACTCTTAGGCCAGCAGTTTTGGTGGACCTGTTCGCAACCCGGCCATCTTAATCACCATCGTTGCCACGCTCCTGAGCCCAGCCGCAGCGTTCGGCCGTCTGTTAGAGCTCTCCACAAGAAAGCTGTTGCTTTGTGTCTCTCGGATCTAGCAGTTCATGGCTCTGCCATCGTGACAGGCTTCCATCGTCTTCACTAAGTAGCCGTTGTCTAAGCAAAACTAAGCTACCATCCTACGGTCCTTTTGGGCGGCTGTCCACTTCCGATTGCGGCCTCGGAACACAAGCCCCTGAGAGTCACTCGCTGTACCTTGGCTCAACTACACAGTAGCTACTCAATGCTCCTCCGCCAGTATTAACACCGGCTCGACCCGTCCACATGAGACAGCTGTCCCGATTGTGGCGTCTCTCCGCATGACTGTCAGCATCTTTTCTCCTGCAGTTCCCGGCCAGGCATCCAACTCACCGCCGTAGACCTTTAGCTCAAGCTGGTAGAGGTCTCGGCTTTTCTCCCTCTTCTAACTACAACCAGTTTGGACTCCGGCGGGGCCTCTTGATCCAAAAATGACTACGACACACACACACACACACACACACTGGCGGATGACGGTTTATGAGTCAGAAATAACCATTCCGTTCTCCCTCTTTTTTGTTGGCATTCTATTATCTGTTAGGGGGTTTTGGGTCAACTAAATTAAGCAAATCTGCCAAGACCTCCTTACGATTAAGTCTGCTTAGTAGTCATTCTGGTGGATTCTATATGATTGCTTAGGAAATCCTGCTTGAGCTGTCAGCTCGCTGTTCCATAATGGTGGATTCCATACGAGCGGTAAGTTGGGCGGGTAAAGTCGATCCAAGTGTGATGAAACTCATGGCGCACGACGTGCCTGGTAGCTCAATGGTA